GTTTCCTTACTCTCCCTTTCTGTTTTTGTTTTGTTTTTCTTTTTCATTCAGCATCCACTGCAGAGAGGCCATATTACCATTTGTAGTGAAAGACTTTGCTTCCGTTCTTGTCAAGGAAAATAATTTGGGCTTGTGTCTTGAATTTCAGGGCATAATTATATAGTAATGTTTTCTTCAAATATTTAACCACCTTAGTCACTGTTTGTGCTTGCCTTTCATGCTCCTCTGACCCTGTCCCTGGTTTTCTAGGTGGCGGTGGGAGACATTGTGAAGGTCGTCAATGGGCAGTATCTTCCAGCAGACATGGTCCTGCTATCCTCCAGGTCAGCTGTGCTAATGGGCACGTTTTTTTGAAATAAACGTTATGAAGAATAAAGCATTAAATGGTGACTGCGGGAATCACAAGGCACCTTTTTGCTTCCACCCTCCACGGCACCAGCCTCTCTCTCTCTCTCTCTCTCTCTCTGGCCTGTTCTTCTGTGACTCGTCATTTGCCTCTTTTTTTTTTTTCCTGCCTTGATCCTGTTTTCTTTCTCCTATTCATTCCCGTGTACTTTTGCAAAACTCTTCTATGTTTATTGGTTCATTTTAGTCTCCTAGCTATTGTGGGCTATTTGTCATTCACCGGAAACATTCCAGAGCAGGGGAGTGATTCCTTCATGGTACCCAGCTTGCAGCATCTCTGAGACCTGAGAACCAGTCTCCTGGTGGGTCCAGCCAGGAGTCTTCCCGTGGAACCTAGGGTCTCCTTTACTAGCTGCTCAGAGATCTGTTCCATTTTCGCAGCATAGACACGATCTGCAGATAGATCTGTTGCCCCTCTATTTCTCCATGTTTTGTCTCCCTTTCCACCCAAATGCCATTGCCACGTTCTCCACGTAGTTTCGTGCTGGAAAGGTATCACCAATTCCTACATGACCTGAATCATGGACCGTGTAGTCCTTGACTTCTCCTTGGCTTAATACATAAAAGTGAATATCAAAGAAAGGATGCTAAAATTAGGATATGAGTAAACTTCTGTTCATGAGTTCAAGATTAAATTATATGATGAGTCTAAAACTTCCTGTATTTATGTACTGTGGGGAGTCCTAGATACTCACACCGTTTGCATTTTCTCTGACTACAGACAGTGCTGCTTTTGTTGGATCTGGTCACATATTGGATTTTAAGCCTTAGCGTGAATTGTCTTGCTCGAGCTAAAAGGTGTGACGATAGAGTCCTAGGCCTATAGAGGAGGAAAAATACCACATAAGGCAGGATTCACGTTTGTCCCTCTTGATTAGTAACGACAGAAATAGTGAAATGTGGATCATTTGACAGTTTTGGCTGTGAATTTTCACCGTAACCCTCAGAAAACCTGGTTTTAATGTGAGATTGTCCCAGCTGACCATGTGTTCCTAGGCTGCTTACTAGTGTTTGAGTCTGTACATTGTGCTAAGCTGTCCGCTGAGTCCGTCATCACACTTAATATTCCCCAAACCCTTGCTGTCCCTGCTATTTACATGAGAAAACAAAGATTGAACAACTTCCAAGTCCACACGCGCCACCAATGTAGCGAGAGGAGATTTGGACTCAGCCAGTGGCTTGCAGGTTCTGTTCTCTTAACCTCTATGATTGGAAGTAGGAATACAGTATCTTCCATGTTTCTTCTTCTTCATATGTTCTGTCCTTACAAGTAGGTGTTTGGATTAAAAAGTTACCTGTTGACACAGTAAAAGGTGCAGGGAAGGCCTGCCAAGCCTGTGTCTTGATTCCTGAACAGTGGCTGTAACGTTCTTCAAGAGATGTGTTTGTTCTGGCTCTGCCTAGGGTAGCTCTTTTGGTCGGGAGCAGACTGAGTCTCAGACTCGAAGGGTCATCCGGACACGGTAGTTGGGTCTTAGCCGGAACATCTTGTGTTTCCCTCAACCCACCAATCCCCTTCTCATTCTTCTTTAGTTATTTCTGTTGCTTAAGGTCAAGCAGCCATTATGGGGGGCCCATAATGGTGGATAATTGGGCAGACCACTTGGTATTGGTGTTGAGCCCCAAAGAGGAGGGTCTTTCTGGTCAGTTACTACTGAAGTGGTTGAAGGGCCAGTCAGCAGACACACTTTCTGGTAGAGACTTTATGAGCTGGGAATTTGGGGAAGGGATCTTACTAACCTTTGGCTTTTGAAATTTCTCTCTTCATAGTGAACCTCAGGCGATGTGTTACGTTGAAACAGCTAATCTGGATGGGGAGACGAACCTTAAAATTCGTCAGGTAAAGTTACCTTTTAAGACTTGTGCTGCTACGGAGACCCCCCCCCCAATTGCCAATTTGGTCCGCTGTACCAGTCAGTGCTTTTCCTAGAGATAAAAAAGGAATCCCTGAGAAGAATGTGGCTTTTATTCTGAAGGGAACCTCTTCAGAGCGACAGCAAAATTAAAATAGTGAGCTTCATCCAAGTATGAGTCACGAAGGGTATCTTGCCTTAATTTACGTCCTAGATTTCTGCCTGTTAGTGCAGATGGAAAGACATCCTGTCAGCTAGGTTGAGTCACGTGGTGGAAAGGGCAGCATCTATATGGGGATATGGAGTAGACAAGGTGTGGGTACCTAACTTTACACTATTGTTTTAACTGAGACTTTAATTCTAGAGAGTTATATATTAGGTATGAAATTTCTGTGCCTTAAAACTGCTCTTACCATATGTTTTCATTCTAGAATGAAAAGTGGTCTTTAATATAGTACAAACTGTAAGCATTTGACATGTACGTTTTCTGCTGCATAAAGTTGAATTTGATAGTTCTGTCCACGTATTTTTCTTTTCTACCTTAGGTATTTGATTTAGGTAGTTTTTTTTTTTTTCTGTTTAAAGAAGAGTTGCTAAGTGCTAGATATGATACTCATATAATACTATATTAAAAGGCTACTTTATTCTGTTTTTATGACTTGTGTTAAGATAGAACTGATAGAGTGTTCACTCCGTAAGGTGTTTGAGTACGTGGTTACTTGATCATGGATGTTCCCAGCACAGTCGTAGAATCTGAACTTTGTACTTCACTGAAATCTTTGGAAACTTTTGATTAGGTTGCTATAGCGAAGGCTGCCTGTAGAGTCTGTCTTGAGGGACCGGTGGTTTGATTTGTCAGCCTCCCCAGTTATTCCATTTTTGCTGATACATTATTTCTTTTGGATTAACAGTGGGGTTGCTGAATGCCGTCCCTAAACCTGGAAGATTGTGTTCACGTTCCTCTTTTGGTTTAACATTTTAGGGTTTGAGTCACACTGCTGACATGCAAACAAGGGAAGTATTGATGAAGTTATCTGGAACCATAGAATGTGAGGGACCCAATCGCCACCTCTATGACTTCACTGGAAACTTGCACGTAGATGGGAAAAGGTATCACTTTTCACTTTGCACTTAGTTTTTATTTTTGTTTCTGTGTTGTTGTTGTTTGTTTGAAATGGAGCTTTGGAAACTATCAGTTTGTTTTTTGATTTCATAATGTCTTAAAATCATGAGATTTTGTAGGTTTCGCTTAGATATGAGAGACTGAGCTTTTCCCAAAACACAATTTCAGTCCATATAAACCTTCCCTTAAATTTAAGGAAAGAACTGGTTTTTGTCAAGAAAAACAGCCTGAGGGTCTGAAATGAGGTTAACAGTATGGACTGTTTTTTCTGTGTGTAAAATTACCTACCAGGGAGGAGAGATGGTTTGGGCTGCATAAAATTGTCCAGAAAAGCAGAAGAGAAGCATTGAGGGGTATAAGAGCCAATCTGTTCATTAGAGAAATGTCCTTTTGGGTTTTTTTGGATAGCATTCTTCTAAGTAGCATTTGTGTTTATGAAGTTGAGTGGAAGGAAACGCAATTACCCCCCCCCTTTTTTTTGAATATTCACGCTCTGTTGTCTGTATTCTTTTGTCTTTGTCCTCTTGACATTTGTTTGATTGTTAGAGAGTCATTTTTGTCCTTCCGTTGATGCGCAGTGTCTCCCTTCTGCCCATCTATAATCTGCGTGCTCCTTATCCATGCTTCCCACCTTTGCATTTTGAACAGACCCAAAGGGAAGGATCTGATCATGGGAATCAACCCAAAATAACTATGACAGCTGTGACTGCTTTCTTGGTTTTCATTTAGCATGCAGAACCATTCCGTGTTCCATATCTTCATTTTGAATTTCTAAATTATCACCCAGTCCCTTATTTAACCATTGAGTCATCCTTGACAAATTTGATATTATAGCTCTTTTGCTTCTTTTTTGTTGTAGTAGTCTCTAAAATAAACTGGGTTTTCCAAATGAATAAGCTTCTGGTTATTTTAGCAATTTCCTTATTGGGTGTGGAGTTTCATAACTGGGTTGTAAGAGAACACGATTCCCTCTAACATTTTTGTAGGAAAAACAATCTATATTTTTTTCCTCGTGGTGATAAATGGATAGGATGACACTTTTTTTTTTTTTTTTTTTTTTTTTTTTTTTTTTAGATTAAGGCATCGGTAACTTTATTGCCCCTGTGTCTCAGTGAAATAATTCAAATTTGACTAAAAGGAACAATCAAATTAATAGACTAATTGTGGGTTTATGTTTAAGGGAAAAGCTCATGCTCATGTGTCATACTATCATTAAATATAAATGTTGTTTCTTATTTTTAGCCCTGTTCCCCTTGGGCCCGACCAGATCTTATTAAGAGGTACACAGCTTAGAAACACTCAGTGGGTCTTTGGCATAGTTGTTTATACTGGACACGACACCAAACTCATGCAGGTAAAACATTTCTATGCTGAAAAACAATGCTGGTTTTAGAATTTATTTTTTCTTTCCGTTTTTCTAGAGTAGAGAGTGCAAATGCAGGTGTTGCATTTGGGAAGCTCAAGTTTGTGACCTAAATTTGGAAAGGACGTACCTGATTCCTTGGGTAGTTTTTCCTGGATTTCTATGATCGTATCACATGTGTATTATCTCTTGCTTGAAATATCGATGGTCTTTGTTTTCCAGACTGAGGGGGACAAACAGTTCTAACTTATTTTATCTTCTGCACTTAAGTGGGGATTCATTCTAACTTCCTTATTTCTCTGCTTCTCTTCCTCACCTGTGAATTAGGATTTTACAGTAAATTGTCCTTTTAATTGAACCCTTGGCAATGTAAAATCAGTTATTTTTGAGTTGATGTTTATTCCTCATACACCAAAAAAAAAAAAAAATTAAGTTGAAATGATTTTGCTCTTTCTCCCTGATCGTGATTTTTAAATTATTATTTGTGGGTTTGAAGCAGCCCGCATTTGTATTATGATGTGTTTTGCCAGACAGGTTTTGAAATTCTGTATAAATCAGTGTCCTGATGTGTCATTTCTCACATTTCTTTGGTTTCGTTTGGCATCTTACTTTGCTAACGGTTGCTGTTTGTGAGAATCGGCTTTTGGCTTGTCTGCTCTTTAGTTTCGCTTCCGAAGCATATATTTGACTGTACTTCTTCGTTCAAAAACATTTAGTGACCACCATGCACCAAGTCTTGAGCTGGCCTATATGGATGCAATAGTGAAAGGCCCAACTCACCCTCTGGGAGCCACATGGACTAAGGAGTAATGGGGAATTGCCGGGTAGCACAGTCAAGTCCTGTGGGTGACTACAGAAGGGCCAGGCCCCCCAGGATTGGGGCCGTTAGCGGACTCCGTGCTGAAAGCACATTTTAGATGGAGGGTTAGAGAGAGGGGTGCTCTTGAGTTGGTCCGCTCTTTTCATCAGATGATGGAAGAGGAGAGAGTTAACTGTTGACTAGAACAATTGACGCGTTGGAGCCCACGTCCGCCCCAGCTGGGAAATGCAACGGAGTCAGGGTGGCGGGAGGTGGAGGGTGGGGAGGTGGTGAACGTGAGGAGGCTTCAGAGGCTCGTGAGGCTCGAAGGCTGCTGCAGCTGCTGCGTGACAGGCCGTGTGGAGTGCTCGTCCTGGGGTTTCTTGGGCGGAGAGACCTGAGAGTGAGCCGGGGGAGGGGGAGGCCGACGGTAGGACTGTGGGAGGCTGGGAAATACGGGGCTGAGAGACCACGCATCTGGCGGTCGGAGCTATGGTCGTGAAGACGGGATGATGGCAGCCCTGGGGCCAAGATGGATGCCTTAAGCCAAATGCTCACCTCCTGGGAGTGTGGGGGCCATGGCTGAGAGGTCGGCGGACTCGCTGAGAGAAAAGGCAGAAGGCGGCGTAGCCGAATGACGTGAATGTCACGGGGGAGCGTTTTAACGTGGCATCAGAGGCATAAAGCGTCAGAAGTGCCACCAGCTTCTGAGGCCGAGGCGTGTAAGCACCCTCTGCTTGAGGGGCTTCAGGGAAGGAGTGCCCTCACCTGGGTAAGGAAAGCTCCCAGCGGAGGAGGAGGAGGTCGCGGAGAAGTTCCGGGCCTGGGATGGAATGGCATGGCGTGTTGGAATGGCTGCGGGGGAGGGGGGGTGTGTACGAGAGGGTGGGGGTCCGTGGCAGCCCGAAGAATAAGTAGTGAATGCTGAGGCCCTTCTTGGATGGCTCACGATCCTTCAGTGAATCCGAGAGGCGTCTGGTCTGTCCTCCCGGCTGGGTCCTCACCAGTTCAGAGCTGATTAGAACACTCCACTAACCAGCTCGCTTCTGTTTTGTTTTGGTTTTTAAAAATTTTTTAATGTCTATTTTTGAGAGAGAGAGTGAGTGGGGGAGGGGCAGAGAGAGAGAGGGAGACACCGAATCGGAAGCGGGCTCCAGGCTCCGAGCCCTCGGCACAGAGCCCGACGCGGGGCTCGAACTCACAAACCGTGAGGTCGTGACCTGAGCCGAAGTTGGCCGCTTAACCGACTGAGCCACCCAGGTGCCCCAGATCACTTGTGTTTTGATGGTGACGTGACAGAGGTGACAAAGAGCTCAAGTTTGGGACCCCAAGACCGGTGTTTAGATTGTGCATGTTACAAATTTCACCCCTCTCCGAGACTCCTTGTATGCCGGTTGTTTTTTTCAGGGTGACATTGGTAGTGTAGCTTTGTAGCTAAGGTGTAAGAGATAATTAAGTTATGCCTAAAAATGATCCCATCATCTTGTTATTGAGCAAGATGTGCACAGAGTTACCTCATGAAGTTTGCGTCTCGTGAGATGGGTGCTTCTCATCGCACCTACACGTGATAAACCCATGCGAGGCTTGTTACGTGTTGACTGTTTGAGTGCAGAATGATGGAAAGCCCCAGAAACATCTGTGCTAGGTGCACCGTGCCTTTAGGACTGGAACAACAACTAAAAATAAGGAGCTTTTAAGTGGAATATAATATAACACCTGTAGCTGGAAACCGTTCTGCTTGTGAACTAACGTTTTTGTCTGTACGTGTGCTGCTTGACCACAGAGAGGAAGCACAATTGCTTTAGGGGTCTGCTACTTTCGCGTTCGTTCTTTAAGCTCTTCCCGCAGTGTGTTCCACTCTTCAGAGTTCCCTTGTTTCAAGTTGGGTGTAGTTACATGTGGAAATATTTTCAATATTACAGTTTCTATTGGTTGATTTAATGGGCAAGGGGTATTATCACATTAATTACAGCAAATACTTAGTGCTTTCATTCATCGTTCTAAGCAATTTGCATGTACTAAATCGTTTATTCCTCACAATGGCCCTATGAGGAAGATACTATTGTTGTGCCCACTTTCTAGATGAGGACGCTGAGACCGAGTGTCTAAGTAAGTTACTGAAATGACATACCCACCCGGTAAGAGGGAGAGTTGGGATTTGAACCTAGGCAGTATGGCTCCGGAGGGCATGTTCTCACTAGTTGCTCTGTTGACTACTCTGTTAGGAGAGACGAAAATGTGTGAAATTTAGGTCAGTTGGAAGCTTTTTCAGACTCTGACATTTTGACTGGTTTCTATTACAGAAGTCCATTACTCAGAAGTAGCAGTGTTTCCTAAGAATTTTGTAGAAGAATTTTCAATGCTAGTCAGAATTAACATTACACGCTCATCTCTGCAAGTTGAGATGTTCGGGGAATGGGAGTGAGTAGGCAGAGCTCGGCTCTGCACGAACTACGTGTGATTGAAGCTTTGGGCTCTAATATTGGACACAAGATAGCTTTTCCTAACCCTGTTCACTGGCCAGGACTCAATAGTTGGAAAAGATCAGAAGCCAAGAAACTAATGAAGTCACAGAAATGATGTGTATTGTAATTTTTTTTGTCTCTGTGCCTCCAGTGAACGTTTGTTAAAAATGATACAATCTCAGGGCTCCTGGGTGAGCTCAGCCGGTTAAGCGTCCGACTTTGGTTCAGGTCATGGTTTCATTGCTTGTGAGTTCGAGCCCCACATCGGGCTCTGTGCTGACAGCTCGGAGCCTGGAGCCTGCTTTGGATTCTGTGTCCCCCTCTCTTTCTGCCCCTCCCCCACTCACACTCTGACTCTCTCTCTGTCTCTCTGTCTCTCAAAAATAAACACGAAAAGATAAGATCATGAGTTTTAAAAGATTGGGATAGGGAGTCTTGGAATGGGTCTCTTGCTCTTTCCATAAGACCGGAGGTGATATGTTGTCCCCATCAACCTGTAGATGGGATTTGATTTTTGATGGGTCAACCTTCACTAATGGACTTCCATTTAGATTCTAAAGGAAATTTTAAAGTCTGTAAAGGACAGGGGTGCCTGGGTGGCTCAGTTGGTCAAGTCTTCGACTTGATTTCAGCTCAAGTCACGATCTCACAGTCATAGGATCCAGCCCTGCATGGAGCATGGAGCCTGCTTGGGATTCTCTCTCTCCCTCTCTCTCTCAAAATAAACATTTTAAATTCTTTTTTTTACTACTTATTTTTTGAGAGAGAGAACGAGAACATGCATGAGTAGGGGAGGGGCAGAGAAAGAGGGAGACACAGAATCCGAAGCAGGCTCCAGGCTCAGAGCTGTCGGCACAGAGCCCGACGCGGGGCTCGAACCCACGAAGCGTGAGATTGTGACCTGAGCTGAAGTCGGAAGCTTAACTGACTGAGCCACCCAGGTGCCCCATAAAATAAACATTAAAAAAAAAGTCTGTAAAGGACAAATAATTCAGAGAACTGAAGTGAAAGGGAGAAGAGAGGATATATAAAGGAAAATGCTGCTGGGCTGTTTAAATACTTAAGCACTTCAAAATTGCCCGTAAAACGATTCCCCGCCTCCCCACCCCTACAGGAAACCAGATCATGAGGGTAGCATTGGTGGGTTTGGTGACAGTTTCAGCGATGTTGTGGAACCGTATTATCGAGGGAACATAGGGATGGATTGCTCCCTGTTTGCATCTTGATTTTGTTATGTTGTGACTTGATCCATGTTTTTATGTTTGGAGACCTTCTCATCCTACGTTTTTTTTTACTGATCAGATGAATGAAAAATAGTGAAGAGTCATGAGTTAAGTTTTGAACAAGGCACCATTTTTAAGGCCAGTGAGTGCCCTTCAAGCTTTCAAATCACCCGATTTTCACAAACCAGTGTTGGCACCTGAGAGACCAGGCTCGTGACTCCTGGAGGGAGACTGGCAGACTGCAGCCTGTGTCCTTCTGCCCCTATCCAGTTCCTGGCTCCTGATTTAATCCAAGGGCGGCTCACCTCCAGGAATGGACTATTACCATCTTCGGGGTTACTATATCCACTCCCTATCACTGCTCTGCTGTAACAAATTATAGGGACTCAGTAGCTTAAAACAACATGAAGTCGTCATGTTATCTAGTTCTTTAGGTCAGAAGTCTGATATGGGTCTCACCCCTGTCACGACCCCTGCAGAACATCATTCCTTTCTAGAACACTCCAGGAGGTTCTAGAGGAGAATCTTTTCCTTGCTCTTTCCAGCCTTCTAGAGGCGTCCTGAACTTCTTGGTTCATGACCCTCGTTTTCCATTGTCAAAGACGGCAGTATTGTACGCCTTGGACTAGTCTTGTGTCTCCCTCTGACGGTAGCCAGGAAAGGATCTCTTCATTTTCTGTTTTTAAGGGCCCACGTGATTAAATTGGACCCACTTGGCTAATCTAAGATAATCTCCCCAAATCGTGTCCTTAATTTAATTATATGCAGAGCCCCTTTTATCACATAAAACAACGTATTTACAGGGTCAAGGTATTAGGGCATGGGCATCATTGGGGAACCATTCATTGTTTTCCCCGGCGCAATTAGAATCAGAATTTTTAGTAAAACGACTTCAGGTGCATAACTGTCCAGTGTGAACAGTTGTACTGACTTTTCCAGTGCTAAGAGGATGTAGTCCCAAATTTTCTACCTGATAAGCAGCGGTCCTTGAATCTGGCTGTAACGAATCTTTCTAAACTGACTTGCCGACACTGGCCTCTGTTTGAGCTGGGATGGTTTCCCCACTGGCAGTCAGGAATTAGACCGTACATGTTTGTTGATGGTTAGGCTGTCTTCCACTTTTGTCTTACTTTCCTGTCTACATCTTGTTTATAATTCAAGACTGCACTCAGATTTCTCACGACCACTAGAGTTTTCCTCATGTACCTGCTTGTTCCTTGTTCAGTTTTCCAAATGAGCCCTTTGTCCGTTCATTTTGACACCTAATCATGTCAACACCTATTTTGCATTTTCGGTGTCTGTGTGTCTGTGTAGGTCTTTTTTTCCCTCCATTTTGAGGGGAAAATACATACTTGAAAAATAGTTCTTTGTATTTTAATCGTAGAGCTATATTACTTGGGACATTCACTCTAGATTCTTACGGCACGGAATCTTTAAGTTTCTCTTGCATTAAAAACATCCTGTTTTAAACTGACTTTAAATGATTTAGAACTTGTTTTCTAAGATGGCAAAAGTAGCCAATTTTGTACTAAAATGTAATCCTAAGTACAGATTGAAGCATGAAGAGTTGAAATGTGTTCTTTATTTCAAACATTGTTGATTCAGGAGTGCGGTGCACTTTTTAATTCCATTGGTTATTGGGAAAAAATACAGTCTTTTACTTTTTATGTGTTGAATTTGGTTAACTTACCTCCTTTTCTCCCCACTCCTTAACCTCAAACCTGTTCTGTGACTCTTCCTGATTTTCACTGCTGTTGTACAGAATTCCACAAAAGCACCTCTCAAAAGATCGAATGTTGAGAAAGTGACCAATGTGCAGATCCTGGTGTTGTTTGGCATCCTTTTGGTCATGGCCTTGGTGAGCTCGGTGGGGGCGCTGTACTGGAATGGGTCTCAAGGCGGAAAGAACTGGTACATCAAGAAGATGGGTAAGTGTCTGGATGGAGTGCTTGTTGAAGTAAGATTAAACCAGTTTTGGAGAATCCTTTCAAGTACCGTTTATGTGGGTGGCCATGCGCATCCTTCATTCTTTTGGCTACTCTCTATAAGGCCAGCCTTTTTGGAAGATTAGGAGTCATGTGATGAAATGAAGATTGACATATTTGGGGATTGTTTTATATTCAAATGATTATATTTTTAATGATTTTTTTGAGTTACTTTCTTAGTGGTTGCTCTTAGGGATTAATGTCTCAGTTTATGGGCATCTGCCTCTAATACTAACATAATTCCAGTAAAATGCAGAAATTTTCCTCCAGTATGGATTCATTTCTTTGCCTGCTTTGTGCTATTATCATATAAATTAGGTCTATGTTATCAACCTAGTAATACGTTGTTATGGTTGTTGCTTTATATAATCTAGTGTCTATTAAGCAAAAAGAAAAAAAATGTAGAGTTGTTTTACATTAACCTACTTATTTACTATTTCTGGTACTCTTTATTTCTTCCTGTAGATTTGAGTTACCAGCTTGTGTTATTTCTTTGCTTCATAATAGCTTGGTCCTCTGATTCCTTTGTGCTGTCCTGTATTACGTCTGTATATAAGTCCAACGGTGCAATTTGCCGTGTTTTTTTAAATCCAAAAGAAAGGATAAAGAGAAGTCCCTGTGTAATTACTTGTACTGATATCCTTTGTTCATATGGATTTAATTCCTGTCTGGTGTCCCTTCCTTTCATCCCGGAGAATTTCCATTGGTATTTCTTGTAAGGCAGACTGGATGGCAACAAATTCTGTTTTCATCTTGGAATGTATTAGTTTCTCCTTTGTTTTTGAAGCAGAGTTTTGCTGATACAGGATTCTTGTCGAATTCTTGGTTGGTGTTCTTTTCCTACAGTACCTTGCACATGCCATCTCACTGCCTTCTGGCCTCTGTTGTACTGATGAGAAGTCAGCTGTTAATCCTACTAAGTTTCCCCTTGTATGTGAGTGATTTTCCTGTTGCTGCTTTCAAAATTGTCCTGGGTTTTCAGTAATTTTGAGTTTCTTTCATTTGGAGTTTGGTGAGCTTTTTGGATGTGTCCATTAATATTTTTCATCAAGCGTGGGAAGTTTTTTAGCTACGATTTATTCAAATATTGTTTCTGCCACATCTTCACTTCCTTCTCTTTCTGGCAGTTCCATTATGCACGTATTGGTCCACATGATGGGACTTTATTAGGCTCTGTTAGTTTTTCTTATCCTGTTTTCTTTCTGTTCTTCAAATTGGGTAATCTCTATTGATCTGCATTCAAGTTTGTCTGTTACTCTCCTCTGCTGCCTCACGTCTGGTCAGCTTCACGGGGATTTCTTTAATTTCAATGATCATACTTTTCCGTTTCAGAATTTCCATTTGGTTCTTCTATCTTTTTATCAGTGTTCTCTGATCAGTCGTTGTCATCGTACTTTCTTTTAATTCTTTAAACAGTTTCTTTTAGTTCTTTGTAATAGCTTTGAAGTCTTTGGTCCATCATTTGGGTCCCCCTCAGAGGCATTTCTTTTTGTCTTGTTTCCTTGTATGTTTCATATTTTTGCTGTTGGTTGTTGAAACCTGGGTGCTTTAGATAATATGTTGCAGCAATTCGGGACGGTTTCCTCTTCCTCCTGGGGTTTGTTGCTGTTTTTTGTTTACCTGTTTAGTGACTTGCCTGGAAAAATTCTGTAAAGTGTTTTCTCCTGCCTCTTACTGCTCAGTTTTAGTCCCATGTTTTTAAAACTGTTGAAATGTATAGTTTAAGCTATATCAAGGTTTTTAGTATATTCCTATTTGTGCTGCCTTTAGCCCTTACCTAACTTGAATGTTTTCATCACTGCAGAAAGAAACCCTATCCTCATTAGCACTCACTCTTCTTGGTTTTATCTTTAAGCCTGGATTCCTAGGGTCAGCATAGCTTAAGGGTCATGCAGTGATTGGTCAGAGGTTGTGCTTAAACCCCTTGAGATAGTAAGGTCGTGGTAAAACTCTGTTGTTTGATCTGTGTGTGGCTGTGGAATACCTTCAGTGTTTGGGGAATTTAAAGTCTGACCATATTCAGCCGGGGACTGGTAGTTCATAAGTCTCTCCTAAGCAAGCGCAGCCTTGTGCGTGGACGTGATTTTCTGGACCACCAGGGTGGAGTGTGATCTTTCCAAGGTTTCTTCGGTCATTTATTTCCACAGATATCCCTTTTTGATTTCTAGCTGGCCTTCTGTTTTGTTTGCTCCTACTAGTACCATGAGATGTACGTCTTCCCTGATTGTTAGCCCCTGGGATCCCTATTCTTTGTGGCAGTGCCCTCGGCATGGCGGTTTTCGTGCTGTGTTCCAAATAATGACATCTTCCTCAGGCTAGTCCTGTCCTGACAACCTGCCTTCCTCTGGAGTCTCGGCCTGCCTCACCCTGGGATAGAATTTCTCATGGAGTTGGGGCCGGGGGCGTGAGAGCCGCAAGTCCCGTCTACCCACCCCGAACAGAATTTGAGCATCATGGCTCAAAGGGAAAGAAGAGGGAAATAGCCTCTGACTTAAATGCCAGAAGTTTCCATTTAGATTAAGTAGATATTTTTAAATGCATGCTTTTGAATTTTTTTTGTAGGCACTGTGATTAATTTCCAAGCACTTTAACTACTTGTTTTTGATAATTTTGTCCAGTTCTATTGCTTCCTGTTTTGAGAGATTTGCTAAGCTTCTTATAGAGCAATTCCAGAAGACAAATCAATTTAATGACAAAATATTTTGAGAACTAAATTTGAATTTTAAAACTTTTGAATCTTTTCTTGAAGTTTTTGTTATTCCTATCTTTAAATGTATTTTGGTTAAACTGTCAAAACATTTTTTTCCTTTTCTAATTATCTCATGCAGAAAAATCAAACACTTTTAACTGCTCAGGAGAACTATTGTTGCAACTTTCACAAGTATGACCAGGACTCGAGTTGTAGGTTGGATCAAAACCCTTGGTTTTGTTCTTAAAATTTTGGATTTGGACTGTATTATATGTCTAGCTTCAAATATGAAGACTGATACTTTCTGTACATACATAGTTTCAAAATATCATGATCTGGATAAATAAACAGCATTGGCCACTATCTTGGTATATAGGATTTGTGGGAACTGGCACTTAAATTGCCTAATGTCGGGGTGCCTGGGTGGCTCAGTCGGTTAAGCGTCCAACTTTGACTCAGGTCATGATCTCGTGGTTCATGAGTTCATCTCCCATCGGGCTGTGGGCTGACTGGTTGGAGCCTGTGTCTCCCTCTCTTTCTGCCCTTCCCCCACTCTCAAAAATAAATAAACATTAAAATAAATAAGTAGCCTAATGTCAAATTCCAGTGTTAGCTGCATGATTTATGGTGGAAGAATGGTCTCTCTGTCCCACCCATAATGCTCTCTGCTTTGTTTTCCTATGGAAAAGTTGGCGTAGCTCTGGCAAGAGCCGTCGGACTTCACGTTCGCATTGTCGGTCTTGGAGCTGTGACTTCATCTTCTGTCCTCGCTCACCTCCACTTGATTGCTTTTGTTTGGCTGAATGAACTTTTATGCATAGGGTCTCTCCTGAATGTACTCTACTTACTGACACTGTCTGTGATGATCCGAAGCAATTTTTGGCCTGTATTGAAACCTGACATTTGAAATTTCTTAATACGCGATTCTCATCGGCAGCTCTTCCTGAGCAAATTAAACCTCGGGGACATTTGTCGACTATTGGTACTTCGAGATGCTGTTTAGCAACTATATAATTCAAAAGAACAAGATAGCAAAGTGACATGTTAGAAAGAAAAGAAGCATTTGGCAGGGAAAATAGAAGCCTTAGTGGGTGAGAAGAAGTGAAGGGTTGGGGCGAAGGTCACAACAGCCACTGACCAGCTTGTGCCCCCTCCGTGTCATCCTTCACCAGCCCTTTATCTTGCCATCACAACTACCCTCTAGAACTCTACAGCTGAGTCAAACCACCACCATTGGACTAATGTCCTGGGGAGGAAAAGCTCAACTGGGGCTTCAAGTCCCTACAAACTACTAATCTCCAATCCTAGCCTTTGCTTTCTTGAAACACCCATTCCCCTCAAGAGGCATTTTTAAATCCAAACCTTCAGCCAGCTGCAATCCTCCCTCCCCCCTTGCCAAGTTAAGATCATACCACTTTTTCCTTCAACCGGAGTGTCATGCTCATTAGGAAAAGAACTTTTCTCTTTTGATACGGACCTCTTTTCCCTCTCCTGGTCCCTTTTCCTGGCCACACTGACCCTACTTCTGCCTTGGATTCTGTCCTCTAGGGGTCTTGTTCCATCCTTAGGGGTCCTCCTCTGTTAAGATTTCCTTCTCTTACCTTCAGTAAATAGGCTCAAGTCTTCCTACCTCTCTCTCTTTGCCCGCCACCAGTGACATTTGTTTTTTTTGTACCTTACACACTCTTTGGAGGATTCCAAATAGACTCTGACCTTATTAGCGAGGTCGTAGATATTCCTTACAGACATTTGAAATGCCTGCTTTCTTTTCTACATCCTTTTTAGTTAGCTGGCTTGTCTCTTTCTGCCAAAACTGGACTAAAGCCTCCTCCGGATGGCCTTCAGCGACTATGCCTTCCCATTGAAAAACCTCCTGTCCGGGTTTCAGCAATGCCCTATGAACTCCTCCTTCAGTAGACGTAGCCTGCTTCATGGACGGTGAGGGGCGTGCTGGCTCCTGCTTCCTCTCCTCCCCCACAACCTCCTGTTAGAAGCCAGCTCTCTGGTGGAAGGGATTCTATTAACAGTCTTGGTATGCACTGTATGCCACGTAGTAGGTGCTCACAGTGTTGTAACTCGAAGCTCTCAATTTATACATAAACCACGAACGTCTTTTAGAAAAGTTCCACAAGAATAAAGGAAAGGGAAACCGAGTGGAGACGAACTAAAGCTCACAGATGCTCTGCTTTTCTTCCACAGACACGACCTCGGATAATTTCGGCTATAACCTGTTGACGTTCATCATCTTGTACAACAATCTGATTCCCATCAGTCTGTTGGTGACTCTTGAGGTTGTGAAATACACTCAAGCCCTTTTTATAAACTGGGTGAGTATCACAGCAGAGCTTCAAAGTTGGGTGACTGGAGCAAGGTCAACCAGTGTTTTCTCCCGTTGGCTCAGAGCCTCTCAGGCGAGCTCCCAGAAAAGGAAGAATGTGGTTAATTTAGGATTGGGTCTGGGACTTAAACTGGCCAGACGACTGGCAGGGGGTCTCTGGCAAGGCTGTCGCTGAGCCGGTGGTGGCAAGGACTAGTTGCCTGGGACCTCCGCTTCCCGGTCTGTGAAAGGGGAGGGCGTGGGTGCCCATTCAGGGGGTCCTTGTGAGGATTAAGTGAGATAATGGAGGCAGAGTGCTCAGCGGGCGAATGTCTTTGGGTGAGTGGGGACGAAGTGGCTGCAAATGCGTTCCTGCATTTACAGTCTAATTAGTGCCGCAGGAAAGGTCTCGTAGGTGTGTCTGTTTTAGTGTGCACCGTATATCAAACTCACCGTGACCATATATACACTTGGATTCTGTTGCGAGAGTGGAGGTGGAATTTTTCAGGAGCTACCGTGGCCATTAAGCAGTGAACTTCAGCCAGTGCTTGTAGACTGGGCGCCTTCCTGTGCATTGTTATTTGATCTTGCCGGCAACCCTGTGAATGAGGTATTGGCTGATCACAAGCATGGGTTGGACTAGGTCATGCAGTGATCGTCTTGCAACCAAATCTTCTGTGTATAAATTGCATATTGTCTTCTGTCACAGTGTTCTCTATACTAATGGCCATTGTACTTCCCCACCCAAATGAGCATTTATACTATCAGTTGTAGCCTCTTTTCTGCGTTGATCTGAGTGAAGGACTAATGGTATTTATTTTCTGAAGCGTCCTCCCCACCCCCCCCCCTCTCTCTCAGGACACAGATATGTATTATCTAGGAAATGACACCCCTGCGATGGCCAGGACCTCAAACCTTAATGAAGAGCTGGGGCAGGTGAGAGCTTCTTTGGGAACTTTGGTAGTGGTGGCACGAGCATCTGGGGAGGCCAGTGCTAGAACCATCGAACATTTTGGAAAAATAGTTCTCTGGGAATGTGGTTTTGATGTCTGAAGATCTATATCTATATACATCTATATATAGATATATATATAATGAAAGTACAATATTACTAAATAGAAATGTTAGTTGGTTTTCACCTGCTTTTTTGAGGCATCAGTGTATTTTATTACCTAGAAGGTACCTGCAAAAAAATTAACACAAAAACTAAAGTGCAACGTTAGTTTGGATATTAACATTGTTTATCAGGAGGAAATGATGGGGAAAACCATGATTCAGACATGCAGGTATTGGGTAACCTTACAAAAACATGAGGGAACTAATTTGAAGGGACATAAATCTATTACATTTCTCACATGTTTAAGATTTTGTTTCTGGAACATTCCGGGGAACGAGTTTCTTATCTGCTCTCACCTTTGAAACCCCTATTGCCTTTAATGAGTTGTGTTTGTGTTTTATCTTCATCCTGTGTTGAAATTACTGTAAGGAAAGCCCTCTTTTGAACACATTGGAATTAAATGTTGTAATTTCCTTTTATACGTCTTATTTAAACCTCCCAACAGCCCTGTAAGGTGGGTGCTATATATATATGTCAGACTAAATTTGCCTCCTCTTTGAATGCTTTTTTAGTTTTTCAGGTAAAGTTAATCTGTCTTCCATGTCTCCATGACAGTCTCTCCAAATGTAAAAACAGTAAAATGAGAGACACGATAGTGACGTAGTATCTATTTCTGTCCTGAACCTTTCGAGTCTATTTGAGGGTGTGGATGTGCCCAATATGAAGTCTTTGGTTGCCTTGGTCATAGTCTAACACGGTGCTCAGTTTACCGTTGTTCTCAGGACCCGTTAAGTTGGATCCGAGTAATTGATGGATTACAAGTGCTCAAGTTGTACCCAGGATAATAATTCATCCTGATTGGGAATGTGGGAAAAGTTTGCTTGGGGTCAAGCTCTACCTAGTTTTGACTTGGAACTTAAGGGTAAGTTAAAATTCAACAGGCAGAATGAGAGCAAATCTTGATAATTCGTTCTTAGAAAACTTTCATTTTGAACATTGTGATATAATATTTTAATTTTTAAAAAAGAGGGGCAGAAGGAAACTCTGCTTATTGGAAGGCTGATTCTACTGAATTTTTTATACCCCTCGACCTACTGCATGTAAAAACTTACTTACAGGGACACCTGGGTGGCTCAGTCGGTCGAGCATCCCAATCTTGGTTTTGGCTCAGGTTCGTGAGTTCAAGCCCCTCACTGGGCTCTGGGCTGGTAGCACAGAGCCTGCTTGGGATTCTCTCCAGCTCTCTCTGCCCCTCCCCCACTCACACTGTTTCTGTCTCTCTCAAAATCAGTAAACTTTAAAAAAAAACCTTATGGTTGAAGCATTAATTACCCATACTTTACTGATTTTTATTTCTATGTAATATTTGACTTCTTTAGGAACATTACTAATTTTCCTTTACTTGAAGACCCTTTGATTGCTTTAAAAATAATTCATAGTGCATTTGCTTCTATTGTTTCATTAAGAGAAAGTACAGAATAAATATTCACACATTAATCCCTCTTCCATAAAATAGTAAAGCATGGCTTCCCCCTTGTGATCCCTGGAGTACATCCAGTAGCAATCATGGCCCCTCTTTAGAAAACCACCGAGAAACTGGAATTTTTACAGGAGACAGTTCTGTTAATTATTCTCCCTTCACCAATCCATGACCTCATTTCCCAGATGTTCTGTATCTTCTGGCCAAACTCTTTGTTTGATAGATGTGGAAAGCGGGACCCAGAAGGAGGAGGTGACTTTTCCAGAGTCCACATTAACTAGTTTGTGTCCAGAGCCTGAACTGGGCAGCCATCCTCCTATGCTCTTGAGCTCTTTTCCCTCTTCCCCATCACATGATCCACTGGAGAGAACATAACTCGCACAGCACATGTGCATTTGGAGTTCATCTCTTTTCAGCTAATCGTGACCTCTAGAAATTTCTCTTTTCACCTTTGTATATTGGGAGCTTTGTGTGTTAAATCTGTAAAACTTTGTATCTCAGAAGGTTCTATAATCTATAGCATGTCTATGCTGCCTTCATGTAATCTTAACTGTTACTATGATGGAGGACCTTCATGTTTGTTCTGTGTTGTTTCAGGATGTGCTTTCTTAATCCAATTAGGAGTGGAGTGAGAAAAAATGTCTTGAGTGTTGCCCAAGTCTGAGCTTGTTGTCTTGATATATTGAACGCTTAGACCAGGGTGCTGTATGAGATCGTGGGACTGTCCTGGAGAGTGATGTGTCCTTGTGGAAGGACCTAGTGCTTGTGCTTAGAGATGGATGTGGCAGCAGGACTGTTATCGAGGCCCCTCCTTTGCACGTTTACACACAACTGCATTCTAGGCTTGGTTAGTGGACAAGGTTTTCTTGTTTTGTTTGTTTTTTAATTAAAAAAATGTTTATTTATTTTGGGGGGAGATAGAGAGTGAGCAGGGGAGGGGCAGAGAGAGAGGGAGACACAGAATCCGAAGCAGGCTCCAGGCTCTGAGCCGTCAGCACAGAGCCCGACGTGGGGCTCGAACTCACAGACAGCGAGATCATGACCTGAGCCGAAGTTGGACACTTAACCTATTGAGCCACCCAGGGACCCCAGTGGTCTATGCATTAAACATATTTATATATGTAATATATAATTATAAAATATGTTGTAACATTGTAATATATATAATTATAAAACGTGTTTTACTTGCTTTGAGGGAATTTACCTTTTAAAATTAATGGAGATTTTTGAAAAATAGAGAAGGAAAGACTGTATTTATTTGTGTTGATAGCTTACTACAGTTTTGATGTACATTTCTTCCGTTCTTTGATTTAGGTGAAATACCTATTTTCTGATAAAACTGGAACTCTTACATGCAATATCATGAACTTCAAGAAGTGCAGCATTGCTGGGGTAACCTATGGGTAAGTTTATCGCTTAAAATTTGATTGGCATTCTTCCAGCAAACCAGTTTATTTTTAGTTGCTTAGTCAAATACCTTTTTGGTATTTGGAAAGGATATTTGTAAGAAATTTAGATATGTAGTAACTACTGAATGGGTTTAAAATGTAATGGGTCCCAACTTTGAACAGTTAACACAGTTTATTTCTGCAAATATTTACCTGGTAAGAAATCCCTGGATTTAATGTTAAAAATTTAATTTTAAAACTTTAATTCTAGAGGAAGTAGCCTGGATGGCGCCAGTGGGTTAGCGTCGACTTCAACCAAGGTCACGATCTGGGTCCCGATGGTAGTGAGGCCGCATCGCAGCTCTGGGCTGATGGCTCCAGGGCTGGAGCCTGTTTCCGATTCTGTGTCTCCCTCTCTCTCTGCCCCTCCACCGTTCATGCTCTGTCTCTCTCTGTCCCAAAAATAAATAAAAAACGTTGAAAAAAAAAACAAAACTTTAATTCCTATAAATTTAACTTCTTTAAATTTATAACCTAATAATTATAAATGTCTTACTCCTATTTTTACCTGAATGCCTTTTTTTTTTTTTTTTTTATTGATGTATAGCTGACATGTAACTTTGTTAGTTTCAGATGTATAACATAGTGATTCAGTGCTGGTATATATTGCAAAATGGTCCCCACAGTAAGTTTAGTTAACATCTGTCACCACACATAGTTACAAAATTGATTTTTTCTTGCGCTGCAGCTTTGAAGGTCTATTCTTTTAGCAACTTTCAAATATGCAGCATAGTATTTATTATTAACTACAGTCACAATGTTGTAGGTTAAATCCCCATGACTTATTTTATAAGCGGATGTTTATCTTTTGCACCTTTCACCCATTTTGACCACTCCCCACCCCTTGTTTCTGGCAACCACTAATCTGTTCTCTGTATCTGTGAGCTTGCTTGCTTTGTTTGTTTATTTTGATTTCACATAAGATCATATGGGATTTGTCTTTTTCTGGCTGGCTGGTTTCACTTAACAATACCTTCAGGGTCCATCCATGTTGTCACAAATAGCAAGATTTCCTTTTTTATGGCTGAGTAATATTGTCTTGTACATATGTACCATATTTTCTTTATCCTTTCATCCATTTATAGACAGGATGTCTTGACTATATCTTGACTATGTAAACAATGCTGCAGTGAACATGGGGTGCAGATATCATTTTGAGTTTGTGTTTTTATCTTCTTAATACCCAGAAGCTTTCATAAATACCCAGAATTGGAATTGCTGGGTCATACGGTGGTTTTATTTTTAAGTTTTTGAGGAACTTCCATATGGTTCTCCATAGCGGTTACACCAATTTACAGTCCCACCAGAAGCACACAAGAGTTTCCTTTCCTCCACCTCTTTGCCAACACGTCTTATTTCTTGTAACCATTCTAACAGGTAGGAGATGATAGCTCATTGTGGTTTTGATTTTCATTTACATGATGGTTAACACATCTTCATGTACCTGTTGGCCATCTGTTTGTATTCTTTTTTTTTTTTTTTAAAGATTTTTTTTTTCAACGTTTATTTATTTTTGGGACAGAGAGAGACAGAGCATGAACGGGGGAGGGGCAGAGAGAGAGGGAGACACAGAATCTGAAACAGGCTCCAGGCTCTGAGCCATCAGCCCAGAGCCTGACGCGGGGCTCGAACTCACGGACCGCGAGATCATGACCTGGCTGAAGCCAGACGCTTAACCGACTGCGCCAGCCAGGCGCCCCCATCTGTTTGTATTCTTTAGAAAAATGTCAATTCAGATCTTCTGCCCGTTGTAAAAACATGTTTATTTTTGAGAGAGCAAGTGAGCATGAGTGGAGGAGGGGAAGAGAGGGAGATAGAGGACCTAAAGTGGGCTCTGCGTGGACAGCAGAGAGCCCGATATGCGGCTCGAGATCATGATCTGAACCGAAGTCAGATGCTTAATCCATTGAGCCACCCAGACATCCCTCCTTCTGCTCATTTAAAAAAATTTTTTTTAATGTTTATTTACTTTTGAGAGAGAGAGACAGAGTGTGAGCGGGTGAGGGGCAGAGAGAGGGAGACTCAGAATCTGAAGCAGGCTCCAGGCTCCAAGCTGTCAGCACAGAGCCCGACGCGGGGCTCGAACTCACAAACTGTTGAGATCATGACCTGAGCCGAACTTGGACACTCAGCCGACAGAGCCACCCAGGCTCCCTCCTTCTGCTCATTTTTAATCAGATTATTTTTTTTTTCCAATGAGTTGCATGAGCTCTTTATATATTTTAGATATTAACTCCTTACCACGTATATGATGTTCAAATATTTTCTTCGATTCAGTAGGTGGCCTTTTCATTTTGTTGATGGCTTCCTTTGCTGTGCAGAAGCTTTGTAGTTTGGTGTAGTCCCACTTGTTTATTTTTGCTTTTTGCTGCCTTCGCTTTTGGTGTCAGATCCAAAAAAATCATCACCAAGATCAATGTCTAGGAGCTTGTACCTGTATTTACTTGCAGGAGTTTTATGGTTTCAAGTCTAACGTTCAAGTCTGTAGTCCATTCTGAGTGAATTTTTGTGTATGGTGTAAGATAGCTGTCCAGGTTGTTGAAGAGATCCATTTATTGAAGAGATTGTCCTTTCTCTGTTATGTATTCTTGGCACTTTTGTCAGAAATGAAGTGACCATATTGCATGGGTTCATTTCTGGGCTCTCCTTTCTGTTCCATTGATATATGTGTCTGTTTTTATGCCAGTGCTATCCTGTTTTGAGTGCTATAGCTTTGTAATATAGTCTGAAACCAGGCTGTGTCATGTCCCTGGCTTTGTTCTTGTTTTCCGAGATTGCTTTGGCAATTTAGGTCTTTTGTAGTTCCGTGCAAATTATAATTATTTGTTGTTTCTGTGAAAAATGCTATTGGAATTTAAATGGGAATTACATTGACTCTGTAGATTGCTTTGGTTTGTACGGACATGTTGACAGTAAATTCTTCTCATCCATGGACATGGAATATCTTAATATTTATTTGAGTCTTTGTATTCTTTCATGTCTTACGGCTTTCAGTGTGTCAGGTTTTGCGTCTCCTTGGTTGAGATTTTTAAATTTCTCTTCTGATGATTCATTGTTAGTCTGCAGAAATACAACCGACCTTTGCTAAATTCATTTGTTTTAATAGTTACTTGGTGGACTCTTACAGTTTTCTATATATAGTATCGTGTCATCCGCAATTAGTGACAATTTTACTTCTCTCTGAATTGGGTACCTTTTATTTTTCTTGCCTGATTGCTGTGGCTGGGATATCCAGTGCTGTGTTGAATAAAAGTGGCAAGAGTGGCCATCTTTGGTTCCTGATTTTAGAGGAAAAGCTTTTGGCTTTTCACTATTATGATGTTAGCTGTGGGCTTGTCACATGCGACCTTTATTATGTTGAGGTATGTTCCCTCTGTAGCCATTTTGTTGAGAATGTTTGTCATAAAGGGATGTTGAATTTTGTCTAATACTTTCTCTACATGTAGTGAGATGATCATATGATATTTATCCTTCATTTTGTTAATGTTGTGTGTCACATTGATGGAATATAGATGTTGAACCGTCCTTGTATCCTGGAATAAATCCCAACTGATCATAGTGCATGATTTTTTTTAACGTATTATTATATTCAGTTTGATAATACTTTGTTGAGGATATTTGCATCTGTGTTCACCAGGGGTACTGGCCTCTAATTTTCTTGTGGTGCCCTTAACTGGTTTTGGTATCAGGGTAATGCTGACCTTGTAAAAACAGTTTGGGAGGTTCTCTCCTTTTCTGTTTTTTAGGAAGAGTTTGATAAGTATTGGTATTCTTCTTTGAATGTTTGGGAGAATTCACTAGTGAAGTTGTCTGGATGTGACTTTTGATTGTTAGGCTATTGATTACTGACTTGATCTCCTTACTAGTAGTCAATCTAAGATTTTCTATTTCATCATAATTCAGTCTTGGTATGTTGTAGGTTTCTAGGTATTTATCCATTTATCTATTTCTTACATGTTGTCCAATTTCTTGGCATATAATTATTGATAGTATCTCTTATGAGCCTTCATATTTATATTGTATCACTTCTTTCATTACTGATTTTGAGTCCTGCTTTTTTCTGCTGAGTCTAGCTAAAGGTTTGCCAATTTTGTTTATCTTTTTAAGAACCAGCTCATAGTTTCATTGATCTTTTTTTTCCCCTCTATTTCATTAATTTCCGCTCTAATCTTTGCTACTTTCTTCCTTATGCTAAGGAAGTTAGTATTCAAAGGACGTTGTCTCATTTGTTCATTTTCTAGTTTTTTGAGGTGCAAAACTAGGTAATTTGGGATTTTTCTAGATTTTTCATACAGGCATTAATCGCTGTGAACTTCCTTATTAGAATTGCTTCTGCTACATCCCATAAGTTTTACTATGTTGTATTCCCATTTCCTTTTGTCTCCCCGTGTTTTTTTAATTTTTTTTTTATTTCTCTTTTGATTTCTTCTCTGACCCATTGGTTGCTCAGTGGTGTGTTGGGTTATCTCCGCATATTTTTGAATTTTCAGTTTCATTCTGGTAATTGAGTTCTGGTCCTACCATTATAGTTGAAAATGATGCCTGATGTGACGTAAGTTTCCTTGAATTTGTGAAGAGTCGTCTCGTGCCTAATATACGATCTATCCCGGAGAATGTTTTGTGTGAGTGCCTCTCTTGATCAGTTTTATGAACACTCTGTTTCCCTTTCTCTGGCAGTCATTTTCCAGAATTGACAAGAGAACCATCCTCAGATGATTTTTGGTAAGTGGATTCTAGCACTTCTTGATGTCTTAGTGGGAAGGGTTTTGGAACAATTCTCTATCGTCATTTTCGCTTAAATATTTTGTTAATAAAAGTTTCATACTTCTTTTTCCAAGAGAGAACCAAACTAAAATTAAACATGAATATGCTTTTAAAAGTAATAGCGGAACTACAAGGATTTAACAAGAAATAGCCAGTCCTTCCCTTGATACCTTCCATACTTCCTGCTTCCCAGCATAATGTCTTCAAAGTTGTGTCATACGTATTGTAGCCTGTATCAGAATTCTATTGACATGGAAGGCTGAGTCATATTCCATTGTCTGTATATACCACATTTTGTATAACCCTTCATCTGTTGATGGGCATTTGGTTTTTTCCTACTCTTGCCTGGTGTGTTTAATGCTGCCGCGCACATTGGTATAGAAGTATCTAGTCTCTGCTTTTAATTATTACGGGTATATACCTGAAAGCGGGATTGGCGGGTCGTGTGGTAGTTTTATGTTTGATTTTTTGAGGAGCCACCAAACTGTTTTCCACAGCAGCTCCACCATTTATATTCCTGGCAGCAACACACATTTTCCCCACATCCTCGTAACACGTGTTAATTTCTGTTTTTGTTTTCATGTACACAATAGCCATCTCAATGGGTGTGAAATGGTATCTCATTGTGGTCTTGATTGGCATTTCCCTTAGGACTAGTGATGGTGTGTGCTCATGTTTTAAGATTTATATACTAACAAAGCTGATTGGTAGGGCTACATGGGCAGGGGAGACCACGCAGTTGATGACTGACTGGTTTCCCTGTGGGATGATCGGCCGGGACCTGCAGTTTTAGTAGAGGATCTTTGGATGTCAGCCTCGGTCTTCTATGTGATCAGTTGTCTTCTCATGAGGAGAACTCTCCAGGCTGTAAATCTGGCTGTGGCTGTTAAAGGAGCTGAGTAGAGGCAGAGAGTTGGTGGTCATGAAGGATGCACTTAAGACTCCTGTCCTGGGAGAATTCCCTACCCTACCCACTTGTGTGCCCCGTGTTGCTAGGTCCAAGGCTACTCTGATTTGACTTCTCCAAACTATAAACCTTCCATGGCTCTCTGAGTTCCAAAAAGTTCAGTTATCTGGCTGCATGGGATGAGGGGGAAGGTTCCTGGAGGCAGACTCTTCCTCAGATGGATCTGGAACCCCTCCTGCTTCCCACTTTCCCTTTATGGGACAGGCACCTCAGGCTGCCATTTGCTCAGCTTCCGCAAGATTCTGCTAGGGGCATCAGTTGGTATTCTAGTCTCTTCACTGCACAAGCTGTTGGTTTCTGCTCTGCTAAACTCCCACATCCAGAGTTCAGGCTGACCTTGGCTGTGGTCACTTCTTCCATCGTCTTTGTTTCCAAGAAGGGGTTTCAGGAGGAAGTGGGGATACAGGAATATATTTAACCCTTCACATTTTCTTCAGTGTGATAGCAGCACACCGCCATTGTATCAAGTTTTATCGGTTCCTTTCTCACAATATTTGCCTCCTTCTCTCTTCTACGTATGAGTTCTGACCATAAATGAATGCCTAGATACAATACAATAATTGTTCCTATTTTACCTGCTTTGAGGTAAATACTCAGAAATTTTCACTGGTAGATGTTAGAGAACAGCTAAAATGACAAAGTGTTGACCCCTGCCACTGTTTTTTCTTGTAACTATGTCGTTGTTTATAATGAACATATAAAATACTCTGCTTATAGTAAGGCTAAAGATTTTCTACCTCGAGGTCTGAAATAATATGCATTATCCCAAATCTTCAAAAGCTTAATATAAATCTATAGGCTTTTTAGGTGTGATTCTTCTTCAGGACAAATTCTTACTAGGTGTGGGTAGATTTTAAAGAAATTTTTGAACTGAGTAAGTATTTTCTGTTCTCTCTCACAGCCGGATACCTCCTCCCCCTAGTGACTCATGTGACTTTGATGATCCTAGGCTCTTGAAGAACATTGAAGATCATCATGTAAGGCCACTGTTTTGCTTCTAGAATGTTCCATAGCTTATGGTGTACTTTTATTTACGTGTATGTGTGCTGCCTTGAAATTTATAATTTTGGACCTTGGGGAGGAGATGTGGTTTTACTTTTCTGGAGTTAGTATTCAGGGAAGTGATCTGAAATAAATGCTCTGTGGTTAACACTCTGCCTGGTAATGCAAAGCTGAATTAAATATGTGGTGGAGCTCTAAAGTCTCACGTCAAGATGAAGACGAGTCTCCATATGGAATTCGCCAACATTTCAGATTTCTCCTGCTCTTTAAGATTTCTGCAGTACCATTTCTTCACGGTTGTGCATCTAAGAGGTCATGCATTTTGAAGGACACTTGCTTTATGCTTGGACCAGGAGAATTTAGGGAAGAAAAGGAGGGCAGAAGAGCATGTTGCATTTATAGCATCCTACCGTGTGCCAGACATTTGACGCGTATTTCCTTTAGCGCTGGAGTCACCCCGGAGAAGTGATAGGAAGCTGCGTGGAAATATCGACTTGGCCAAGAGTTACCAGCAAACAAAAGTAGATATGAGACTCAGAACCTAAGTCTGGTTGATTCTTAAGTCTGACATCACATTATCTCTACTATTCTAACAAACCGGGATTAACTACAGGGTCGCCTAAATTCATTTGAAAAGCTACTTTGAAAAATACCAACTTAGAAAAGTCTTTAGGGACGAAGGCATTTTGCAACCCGTTTAATCAGTGTGAATTCCATCCGATTTTTTCTGAAAAAAATGTAACGTTAGGTAAACTTAAGCAAAATTAAAAGTTTATCATTCCAACATTTTGTTAAGATGCAGATCTAGGGGCGCCTGGGTGGCGTAGTCAGTTAAGCGTCCGACTTCAGCCAGGTCACGATCTCGCGGTCCGTGAGTTCGAGCCCCGCGTCAGGCTCTGGGCTGATGGCTCGGAGCCTGGAGCCTGTTTCCGATTCTGTGTCTCCCTCTCTCTCTGCCCCTCCCCCGTTCAAGCTCTGTCTCTCTCTGTCCCCCAAAAAAATAAATAAACGTTGAAAAAAAAAAGATGCAGATCTATTTCAAACTTTCTCTAAATTCTCAGCGAGGAAATTTCCTGTTCTCTGCTGCACTTGCCCATTTGTTAACGCTGAAATCTTCCTAGGCACGATTCTCAAATGCACGCATGTAAGGCACCCACACCCACCGGCTGGGATGCGGACTTTCTGCCTCAGTCCCTGGTGGTGCTGATGAAGTGGTCCCAGACCATACAGTGGATGCTGTTGAAGTCCATGCCCTGTATCATAGTCACAGGCATCGATGTG